GGGACTTGAAATGTTGGGTCCGATTGCGAGCCCTTCTTCCACTTTTATCGACTCGATAGCAAGCACAAAGTAAAAGGAGCACACAAATAAACAAGCACAAAAACATGGCCTACAAAGTAGGGCTTGAGTTCCAAACATGCATCTCTTTTCCCACTTCTCATGGTAAGAAAATCGAAAAGACAATGCAAAAATAAGATAAATGAGAATAAAGTACCAGACAGAATAAAATTCGTTTCCTTTGCCTAACAAAGTGTAAGAAACCCGAATATCTTCATGAAAGCTTGCATCAACAAGCAAAATAATTAGAAATCGAATGCACGAGATAAGTGTCGAAGTGTCAAAAATGAAAAAAATAAATCACAAGCGGAAAGCGCGTCAAGCATATCTGAATATCAAGTGATAGTCCTGTATAAAATACAAGTCCATACAAACAACAACAGTCTACGCGTCTCATGGAATGAGAACCCAAGCACAAACGTTTTAGGAATGAATCTGCACCAAAAGGAAGTGGGATAAAGGCTTTAATCAAATAGTCAATAATTAATTAATCGATTAAATGCTTTCTTGAACCTCCTTAGGAAGCTTTCACAAATCAACAAATGAGTTAGTAATAACAAGGAAAAGTTAAGCATTCTTACCATAACTCAATTCAAGCTTAATTCATGAAGAAACAAGTTCTAAACAAGTGTCAGAGCAACAAAATCAATTAGCGGTCAGCACCATTTTGGTTCATGAAAATGCTCGAAAAGTCGATTTAAAACCACCAAAACTCAACACCGACATTAAAAAATTATTGAGTTGGAACCAATAATGAATTAAGAAATAATTAAATCACGATTTGCATGTAAAAACAATTATCAGACAACCAGTTTTCAACTCGTGAAAGTCCTCCAAAAGTCACTTTAAAACCACCAAAACTCAACACCGACATTAAACAATTATCGAGTTAAGTCCGAACATGAATCTAGAATGAAATAAATCCCAATTTGAAAGAATTTGTGAATATCAGACAACAATGATTCATGTGTCAATGTTCGCCAAAAATCAATTGGAAATCAATATTTTAACGCGCAAAATCAAACACCGACATATGACGCTTCACTCAGAATTCACAAATAAATTGCAACAATTAAATTTGCATCGGTACAATGATCTTCATGCATTGAAACAAAAATTATTCACCCGTCGACATCAATTAATCAACTCTAAATTAAATTCTGACACGTAAAATTCAATAATTATCAACAAGTATCAACTCAGAATCAAACGCCAACGCGTAAACTTCAATAGTTATCAACAATTATTAATGCCAACACGTGAATCTCAACAATTAGCTCAAGTAATCAACCAATTCCAACAATTATCAACATCATCAACATGATGATTTATTAAGAATCAATTAAATTCCATAATTCAAAAATTAATTCATGCTAACTCAACATAAAATCACTTGATTCTTCAATTAAAATTCTGCAATATAATCAATTACACTAAAATCCAGCACAACAATTAAATCAAGAGATCAAGAAATTACCGAAAATGAAGATTAGAAAATTGACCGAAGGAGAAATCGAACACGATCGGATAGAGGATATCGACACAGAGGTCACGATGGAGCGGGAGGGCGGCTCACGGTGGCTCAGAGGGAGGCTGGAAGGCGTGATCACGCGGAGGTTAAAGGTTGGCCATGCCGTCGATTGTCAGAGGTTTAGGCGGTGATCAAAAGTCGGTGGTGGTCCGACACGGTGGTTGATCAGAAAACTTGAGAGAGAGGATTCTTCACTTGAGAGATTCTTGCATTTGAAAGTGATTTTGTAAAAGTGGTGGAATCCCCTTTTAAAATTGAGAGAAAAATAATATATAGAGATGTGCTTAAGTCATGTTTGGCATTTGGACTAGAAAAAACTAGTTTTTAGAGCCATATTTAACACGCACCTTACTTCTTCAAGCTTCGGTGCCATCCCGATTTTGGGTAGAGGCTCTTTCCACTGCTGTATTATTGATCAATCGTCTTCCTTCTGTAGTTATTAATTTTGATTCTCCCTTCTTTCGTCTTTTTAAAACTCAGCCTGATTATAATGATTTACATACTCTTGGTTGTGTGTTTTGTTTACTTACCTCCATTTGAACGAAATAAACTTGGAGCACAGTCTGTTCAATGTGAATTTATGGTATATAGCAACTCTCATAAGGGTTTTGTGTGTTATGATTTCTCTAACCACCGCTTTCGAGTTTCTAGGAATGTTAAGTGTTTTTGATAATCAATATATGTTTCATTCTCTTTCTCCTGTCACAAATGATATTGTTATTCTTCCTAATTTTTCCTTTATGCCTCGATCTATAGAACATTACAAACCAGGAATCACATGTCAGATAACGCAGAAAACAGGTTCCCACTGCCCCTTCTAACACTGATCCACCACCTGATCCTGAACCGGTCGAACCACGACGTTCTGGTCGAATATCTAAAGCACCAAATAGATATTCACCAGACAGGTATGATTCCTCACATACTTATTTGACCTCCTCATTGTCTAGCATATCTATTCTTACTTGTTATGCACAAGCTTTTAAAGATGTGCGTTGGATAAAAGCAATGAATGCAGAACTTCAGGCTCTTCAAGAGAATTTTACATGGGATGTTGTGTCTTGTCCCCTGGATATCAAACCTATAGGTTGCAAATGGGTGTATTATGTGAAATTGAATTCTGATGGGTCTCTCAACCGTTTTAAGGCTCGATCGGTTGCCTTAGGAAATAGCAGGAATACAGAATTGATTATGATAAGACATTTGCACTAGTTGTCAAAATGATAACTTTTCGTACGGTACTCTCTATAGCTGCATCGAACGGGTGGTCTCTTTATCAAATGAATGTGAAAATGCTTTTCTTCATGGTGACCTGATGGAAAATATTTATATGACTCCTCCTCAAGGTTTATTTTCATCATCTAAAGGTGTGTGCAGGCTCAAACGCTCCTTATACAGTTTGAAACAAGCGTCTAGAGCATGGTATGAAAAATTCCTCTCCACTCTACTTGGATTCTCCTTTACTCATAGTCAATATGATTCTTCTCTATTTATTCATAGAACATCTACTAGAATTGTCCTACTTCTTCTGTATGTTGATGATATGATTATTACTAGTTCTGATCATGCTTCCATTCAAAGCCTTAAACAGCAATTACAGGCATCGCTTCATATGAAAGATCTTGGTAATTTGCATTATTTTCTTGGTCTGGAGGTTCATTCTACATCCAAGGGCATCTTCCTCCATCAACACAAGTATGCCACATATTTAATTTCTATGGTTGGTCTCCAATTGGCAAATCAAGTGGGTACTCCTCTTAAGGTTAATGTTAAATATCAATGTGATGATGGTGATCTCTTGCCTGATCCCTTATTGTATCGTAAACTCGTGGAGAACCTTAATTACTTGACTACTACTCACCCTGATATATCTTTTGATGTTCAACAAGTAAGTCAATTCATGCACTCTCATGTCAACAGTTCGTCGCATAATTTGCTACTTGAAGAGAAGCTCTCATCGTGGTTTAATCTTTTCCACTGGAATTGCTACAAAATAGAGTGCTTATAGTGATGCTGATTGAACAGGCGTCCTGATACTCAGCAATTCGTCACTGGTTGGTGCATGTTTCTTGGCTCCTCATTGATCTCATGGAAAAGTAAGAAACAAACGAGAGTCTCTAAATCTTCTACTGAATCTGAGTATCGTGACATGTCTGCTGCTTGTTCTGAAATAATTTGGCTTCGTGGTCTTTTGGCTGAACTTGGATTTCCTCAAATAGAGCCAACCTCACTGTATGCTGACAATACAAGTGTCATCCAAATCGTTGCTAATCCTGTTTTTTCATTAACGCACCAAAAATATCGAAGTTGATTGTCATTCAATCTGTGACGCATATGATGACCTACTAATATCACTTTCTCATGTCAGTACTCAATTGTAAATTGCAGATATTCTTACCAAGGTTGTTCTGCGTCCACGTCATCAGTTTCTTGTTAACAAATTAATGTTCATTTAAGTAGCTGGTTTGTCCTCTTCATTCTATTTATTAGTTTGTTCCTAGAATAAGGAAACATATCAAAAATTGATTTGTTCTAATTAAATGTAATCATTTAGTGTGATTACTTGTATAGCTCTGTAATCTTTATATATACAAGAAAGAAGAATGAGAAAGACATTAAGCCAAGGATTATTGACAATTGCTACATTGTCCACAAATCTTAGTTCAACTGGTAGAAGTCAATGTTGCTAGGTTGGAGGCCATAACCATGGTTCAAACCTAATATTCACGGTTGTGTGTGAGTTTCTAATGATTATTAATATAGACAAGAAGAAAAAATTAGCACATTGTTTGAACTTACTATTGTACACATTAATACTGAGGGGACATGGCAATAAATGCTTTCCATAAAAAGAAGCACAAATCTCATAAGTGCCAACATCTTTAACCATATAGCTGCAAGTGTATGATCCATCCTCATTATCCATGGTGTCCCAAGTTGAAAATCCCGAACGATTAGTTGAAGTAATCTCAATTTAACCTTGATTCTTGCGAGAGGACCGAGTTTAAATATGAATCCAAAACCTGTACAACTATTTCATTCTTTGACAGTTTTGGTACCTTTGAAGAAAACCTCACCACACTTGACAAGGAGATATTTACTTCACCTGCAGCAAGCTAAGGGCGCATGAGAAATGATTGGAACTATTAATACATATTTTGGTACCTTCTTTTATATAACAAAATCATGTAATGCATTTTGGTACCTGCTTTTACCTCTTTTCTGAATGAATGGCCCTCATTCAACATTATGTTTCCACAATATACATTAATGTCATAAAAGCCGCTTTTCTCTGGTGTGTATTCCACTTGAAATGCGCTTCTAATTATGTTTGTGTTCCTTACATTGATGCCTATATCAATTGAAGGTGAAGGTGATGGGATGGTTTCCATGGGGCCGATACCATCGTATCTCACTCCTGAGTCCATTTCACTCCCTAATATCAAGATCAATCATCAAGAAATGATAACAAGCAAAATGCAATTATCAAATGAACTAAAAAATGAAGATATGCTACCGGTATCGACAAATTTGTGTCTCTCTCAACGACTTCAACGTCAAATGGATACAGTACTGAAACCAGATTTCCGTATTGATCCAACTGATGTATAAAGATCTCCATCTTTGAAGACAATTGCCATGCATGATGTTCAATTTTCCATTTAGCTACACATTTAGAGACATCTATAACTTCTGAATTCACTTTTAACGGTAAGGGAGAACCGTTCAAGGTTTGATTTCCTCCTTTGATGCGCAAAGAGAAGTTTCCCGCTTTGGTCATTACAATAGGCAGAGGAAACATTAACAGATCAAAACCATTTCCAAGACACAAAAATGATCGAAAATGTTTAACATAATCGCATTCTTCATCAACCAAATATTCCACACCATCGCTAGCTGCATCACCCCAACTGTTAATCTTTCATCTGAAACCTTGATCTTGTAATTGAAAAAAAAAGATACGACCTCAACTCTTCCGCGCTTAAATCCACATCTCCCCCAATCCACTCAACCACCTTATCCCATATTCTCCTCGTAAAATTGCACGTGTCGAAGAGGTGACTAAAATTTTCTTCTTCCCTAAAGCAAAACATGCAACAACTATCCCGGTCGTTCACCACTATTCTTCTTCTACGCAATTGATCTCTAATAGGTAATCTGCTAGCAAAAATCTTCAACCAAACATCCTTTGAAGGAGCACTCAATTTCCACAGAAAGAATAAAGCCTCCCTTACCCCTTGATTCAACTCAGCCCTAATATCCCTAGTCCGAAGAAACTCCGCGCAAGATCTCACAGAGAAACCCTCTCCCGGATCCTCAGTCCAAACGAGCTCGTATGGGACTTCCTACTGCAGAACAGCTCCAGACAGCTGCTGTAACAATTCTGCCAGCAGAAAAATTTCAGTGTCGTCCGTGAACAGAAACCAGAATTCTGGGTTCCAGCTCCAAATATCCTGATCCCAATGACCCGCCTCTGCCACAATCATAAATGGAACAACAACCTTCGCGTATAACTCCGGAAAAGCTTTCGACAGAATCTGATTTCTGGTCCAGGAACTGAATCAGAAGGAAGTTTTCGCACAGTTTTTAACCCTGCAATCAACCAGATCAGAAATCGACACGCCTCTATAGTCACAGTAGTCGTTGATCAAAACAAAATCTCTCCACCAGATGGAGTTTGTTTTGGATATCACCCTCGAATCGTTCACAAACATATTTTCCGCTGAACTTTTTACTTGTAAAACAGTAAATCATTCCAAATAATTCTCCTCCGAAATAATTCTCCATCCACTTCATGAGTAGCATAATATTCATGCATTCCACATCCCTAATGCCTAACCCCCCTCCGATTTCTCTTTACAAATGTTGCTGCAACTTACCCAATGAAAGTATCTTTTACCTTCCACCCCCTCCATAGAAATCTGCTTTGAATGCTTCGGATTTCTTTTAACACCTTCTTCGGTGCTCTAAAGAAAGACAAGGAATACAAGGGAATCACATTGAACACCAAGTTAATTAGAACCACTCTACCTCCCAAAGAGAAGAACCTTCCGCTCCACTTCAAAAGCTTACTCCTAACATTTCTAACCACTTCCTTCCACATAGACTCCTTCCCAGGGCTATCACCCACAATCACACCCAAAAGTTTAAAAGGCAAAGAACCTACACCACAAGCCAAAAAAGGAGACACATAAGACAACGTCCTATCGCATAAATTGATGTCATAAATGTTACTCTTACAAAAGTTGACTTTCAATCCGGATATTAACTCGGAGCCTTTAAGGATGGCCTTCAAACTCCACAAAGCATCATTCTCTCCTTCATTGAATATAATAGTGTCATCTGCGAATTGAAGAATATGCATCGGATATTGAATCCCCTATAATCACCCACTTCCACCGCTTTCTCCATCAATCTCGTAAAACCTTCCATCATTATGACAAACAAAAACAGAGAGAGAGAGGATCACCCTTCTTTAAGCTCCTTTCAACCTTGAAATCCTCCGTATTACTACCATTGATAATTACCGCCGTAGAGCTAACAAACACATACATGTTCCCTTCAACCAAACAATAATAGCAATATCAAACATCAATCAATAAATAAACATTCGAAAACCGAATAAACCTATGTTATGTATAGCATCAAGAAATGCACTAACTAATTCAACTTAGGTTAACTCATCCATTCATAGACATTAAATTTTCCAAAAATATACACAATGAAAATGCAGATAGACAGACAGACAAGAAAGTGCTAGTCTTTCTGGCGGTTAAGTAAGGGTTTTGATGAAACCTGGTTCAACTTGGAAATGCAACGACGAGTCAGAAACTTTGTAACGATCTTCATCAATGAGGATATTGAACAATCCAACCCTAATGGGAGTGAAGGAAATCTTCCAATTATCAAAGTCTCCTTTGAAATGGGACAAGACGGTGGATACATAGGAACTATTTCCTTCCTTTCCATTGACAGTAAGAATGGGATGGAAGATATTGGTATCAATTTTATCACCATTCTCAAGTACTTTAACCTTGATGGTTGCTGTTTCACCACTTCTAAATCTACCTATATCATCCCACCAACTGAAAGCAATCATAGGCAATTCTGATCTATCTGAACAACCAAAAATCAAACACAAAATCATTAACATTCTGCTTTTCAACATGATAATTAAGATCAAAGAACTGTGCTTCTTATTGGTTACCTGTGGAATAAGATATTGGGAAGAAAGAGAGAGCATAGAGTGAAATGAAAAAGAGTGGAAACTTCATTTTTCTGCATCAATATGATATAGCAGTGTAATGAAATGTCATTTCTATTCATGAAGGAGACAGCGGTTAGAGGCAGTTATAAAATAACAAAAAGGATGCAATAAAAATTTAATTTTAAAGCATTGCAGATCAGTCCTTTTTGAGTTTGGATTTATAACTCACACCCAACTTCATTTGCTATATATTTGGTGAAGGAGGGAAGTGATTATTTTCAAGCTTAGCAATCTTGATCAGTTACTCACACCAAAAAACAATGGCAAACAAGAAGAAGAACAAGAAGAACAAGAAGAACAAGAAGAAGAATCCCATTTCCAACACACCACCATCACCACAATCAATGGTGAAACCTACTTCTGACTCACAGCAATCATCACCTCTATCACCACGACCACCACTGCCACCTGTGTTCTTCAGGAATACCGTCCTCATCAAGAGTAATGACATGTCTTATAAGATGAAATATGAGGCTTTTGATATTGTCGACAATGTTAGTCTATCTTTCTTTCGATTATCTTTCTGGGTTTTGGTTTTCATGATGTCTAGTTTCATAAAGTCTTGAAATTTTGTACAATCATGTATTAATCTATCTGCAGGCGTTTAAGAAACACTTATTGAAGGACAAGGAGGCTGCTGAGGAGATAAAGAAAGAGTTTGATAAAAGACATGGCCCCCATTGGCATTGTATCATTGGTGCTAGCTATGGTAAGTCCTTGATGATCAGATTCCACTGTGTTCTAACTTCATTTTGCACAAACTTCACTGTTCTTAGCCTAGCTTTGTCATATCCTTGTTACTGTAGTGAGTGATTTTTAGGGATAACACATTGATGGAGTTTTGTTTCTTTTTGCAGGCTTATATATAAATTACAGGCCAAAATGCCACATTTTTTTCTACATGAGTCTGAGATCAGTTTTGCTTTTTAAATATGGATAGGCAGCGATATGAAGTTTGACAGAAGAATGAGACTTGTCTTGTGTTAAGAGCATCATCAACATGTATAACTGTTGTCAAGCTTTGAAAATGAATGCAAGAGTTATTTGATTGAATAGTCATTGTGAAACACATATGTTGACATTTGTAATCCTAACATAGCTTGTGGTTTTTTTTTGGAAACAAAATGTGATTGAATAAAATCAATGGCCTATATCTATGAAAGATTGGGCTTGTGACTTGATTGTAAACTTTAATCTTGTGATTTTGGATTTTGGTACTGATGCATTACATGATATGCCTTGCTTTCCAAGATACATATTGTCACCAATGTTATAGCCTCCATAAGTTTTGGGATTATTCTGACTCCTCTTATCATCCTGTACTGGATATGCAAAACCTGACTGATTGGTTAGGCCACTTTAACAAGTTAGCTCTAATTTGTTCATGCATGTGTTGTTTTTTCTCCATATAATTGATTAAGTAAGATAATTAATTAAGTTATTTGTTCATATATTCTTTGTTGTTTGTTTCTCCCATGATAACCGATGATGTTGGTGAATTATTTGCTAATTTGCGTACCTTATGTTCATGTCATAAGTGTAGATCACATGTACTATTTATCATCTTAAAAGGGTGTTCATGATTTTTTTTTTATGTACTTTCTACCTTCCTGTTTGAAGCCTAAGTATTCACATGTCCATGTATGAATCTTAAAAGGGTCGTGAGTTATGGAAGTTTGGGATTTTTTTTTAACCAAGTTTTGGATGTTTTTGAAGACGTAAATTGTGTCTCTATCACTTTAATCGTTCTGTTTTAAAATGAGTGTCATTTTAAAAAAAAAAATATTATTTTAAAATGAACGTCATTATTACTTTTGAATATAAAAATAATTAGTATTTTTTCAATTATACTTTTTAATTATTACTCTATATACTAATTTCAATATATGAATAAGATTAATTTAGTAAACATATAATATTTTATGACATTATTATTATATTCTTTAATTTATATGCAAAAAGTTTAAACGACGTTCATTTTAAATAAGAGAGATAGAATATTAGTGTCATTTATTTTTTGATGAACCATATATTCTTTTCATAAAGTTTGAAATTGATTATTTTTCAAGAAAAATTGCAGGTTCCTTAAGTCTTTTTAGCCCCCTCAAATCTTTGTTTCAAACAAGCTCGAGAATGTTTATGAATTCAAGTGTATATCAATTTCTTAAGTCCACTAAACCCAAATAATGCGAAGGAATTATGTAATATTAGTCCTTAAAAAAATAACGATTTCTATGATCCAAATAATCATTGACTAAGAAACACAAACTCCGACATAGACACTATAACACAACACAAACATTTTGACACTGATAATGTGTTGGCTGAAGATTTTGATAGTGTTATTTAGAATTCAAAAAGAGCTAGAAGTTCTGATCGAAATGGAATTAAAACACCACGCTTCGAAATTGCAGAAGCAGTGTTTCGAATGAGTGTGTCAAAGCTTGAAGCTTCGAACGGTGATCATGGGAGCGTATCCAAAGGGGTCTCGAAACAGCAGCGAAGCTAGGTCTGAGAAGAGCGTTCGAAACAGAGAAACACCAAAGCATTTAAAATTTAAATGAAAGCGGGACTTTCAAAGTTTGAAAGTTATGTGTTGGAGCATTTGGGGACACGTGGAAAGATGAAAGGAGCATTGTCTTGCATGTTCGAAACGTGGCATGATCTTGTAGCGAGACCGTTAGGGTCGAGTTAGTATAAATAGAAGTCTTAGTGTTAGGATTTCAGTGTGTCATATCTGTTATACAAAATACTCAATAACATTCAAACTACCACATGGCAAGGGAAACGAATGCAAGAGAAATGTATGTATGATAGCACCATGTATTTCTAATTTAATAAAAGCCTTTTTACTATTTCCAGCACTTTCCTTCTTTTTCTTTCTGTCGAATAACATTTGCAAGTTTCTTTATCTACTGTCTTTTCATTTCAAAGTCTTTTCTTCAAAGTTTTACATTTTACTGCTTTCTTTATATTTCGAGCACTCTATATTTCAGAGAACTTTTACGCTCTCAATACCTTTACTTTCAAGTATTATTCTTCAAACATGTACTTTCACTTAAAGTCATTTCTAGATTTCTTGCATTAAACGCTTTCTTCACATTTCAAACTTCCACATTCCAGAAACCTTTTGTGTTAAATGTTTTATGGGTCGAAACCAGTTACTTCATTTTCCATACAGTTTTATATGTCTTTTCAATCAGCATTACAATTAGCAATTATTCGTATAACTTAGTTTTCACATACATTTTGACCACATTTTTAAACTCTTAGAGAGAGGGATCGAAATAAACCAAACATTTGTACAATAGCACCCATGAATAATTGTTCGATTGTGAGAGTAACCTTAATATCCAAGGAGTCCTAGGATCAATCTAGTCGATCCTGTGAGTTACCAAAGAGATTGAGTAGCATTAATAAAGATTATTCGATAGTTTGGAAGACTAGCGGTTGTTTACCAGAAATCACTGGAAACAAATTGGCACACCTGGTGGGACCAATAGTTGGATATCAGAATTAAGGATTGTCGAGACATAGCCATCCCAGAAACGTAGGAACCTAAGAAGTTTGCTGTTTTATGAACCTGAGAAGTGGTAAGATAACCAACAGCAACCAACCTTTATCCAGAAGAAAACGTTTGGACAAAATGTCTAATTCAGACAATCAACAGGGAGACCAAGGTGGCCCACAGGCAACAGGCACTAACGCGTCCATTTCGAGCGGAGCATCTAATGTAATCCCTTCGAATGCACAGGCTGTTGCATCTTCAACCAGTAACATGGCCACCAACGGAGTAAGTGGCATATCAACCAACAGTTCGATCTTAGGAAATACTGGAACTATGGGCTACCCTGGGGGATTCGTTCCGCCACCTGGGACACAATCCCATTTCGCCACTCCATCAACTAGACCACCCGGCTTCGATGGGAATAGAATTAGAAGTTCTTCTTACGGAATGCCAACATCTTTTATGGCAGGTTTACACAATTCCACATCGAATTCATCCCCACAACTAGGATCTGGGTCTGGGGCAAACCAATTTATGTCAAATAACCAAGGGTCAGTGGGTTATAGCACGTTGCATATCCTAACCACAGATAACCAGTTGGCTTTTAGGCAATTGATGGATGACAGCAACCACAATATGATAGGGGTGTTAGCGCAAACCATGCAGGAAATATTCGCCCCAATAGTTCAGAATGTGACTGTGACGAACAGGGAAAACGCTGACAATATGAGTCGAATAGCAGATTTCTTTGCTCCCACAGAAAGGCGTAGGCAGAACCAGGCGGGATTTCGAACAAACGTGCCTGTTATAGAACAAATTGCCAACGACCCAATTCATAGACCACCCAGAGAAGAGGTTAACTTAGGGGCCAGAGCACCAAGGTTAGAAGCCCCAATAATTCCGGGCCCACAAAGGGAAGTTATGGAACCAGGGGCAAGGATCGAAAGACCAGAAGCCCCAGAATTTCGAGGAGAACAACCTAGGGGAGTTGTTTTGGTTGGTCAAAACCAAGATGCCGATGCCGTCGTTCATAGGATTCGAAACGATAACATCTTGGCAGAAAATAATCTGACCACCATGATAGAGAGGATCATGACCCAAAACGGCCTCAATATGGGAATGAGGAGGCCAAATTACGCTTCTCCTATATTAGATTGTATAATGCATACTGATTTACCAAGGGGATACAAAGTCCCTAAATTTACAAAGTTCGCTGGGGATACCAACGAGTCAACAGTCGAACACATAGCGAGATATTTAACCGAAGCGGGGGATATAGCCAATAATGAAGATCTCAGAATCAAATATTTCCCAAGTTCCTTGACAAAAAATGCCTTCACTTGGTTTACCACGTTGCCTCCTGGGTCTGTTGACACTTGGACCCTTTTAGAGAGATTATTCCATGAACAATTTTACATGGGACAATCGAAAATAAGTCTGAAGGAATTGGCCAGTGTTAAGAGAAAGTTCACTGAACCCATTGATGACTATTTGAATAG